GCGGCGTCCTGCAAGACAGCTGCCGCCCCGCTCACCGCCCGCCAGCGTGAGTGGCGGGCCTGGCCGCACACCGACCGCTACCCGTTCCACCGCGGTGGGGCCGAGGCGGCCGAGGCGGCCGAGCCGGTAGCGGCCGAACGTCCGGGAGCGCTTTACGAGCGGCTCACAATCAGCCCCGCTGCCTCTACTCTACCCGGCGGGGATGCGCGGGCGCCGCCCGTACAGCAGCCCGTACCGCAGCCCGTACATGGACGGACGGGCAGCGAGCAGAGCGCGGCCGGAGCAGCAAAACACTCGTGACTTTTTATTCGTCCGCTTCCAAGGAAACGATCGGCAGCCAACCCAAGAGCGGCGCTCGCTCGGCGTCCGCACAACCTGCAGGTGCGGGATAGACAAAGCCGCTCACGTCACGCAGCTGCCGCGCGCACACCTGCAGCAGCTCCGCCATCATCGGGCTCCTGCTGCTGCTGCTGCTCCAGGACGACATGACACGTCACCTCGCACGTCATGGCGCTCGGAGGTGGAAGGGGTTAGGGGGGGAGGAGGCAGTCGGGGAGGCGGAGCGTGAAAGGAAAAAGACCCAGAGGAGCGCCAAACCGCAAAAACAATCGTGAGCGGAGGGCCACTTTATTATCGAGTCAAATGACGGAGCCAAAGTGAGGCCAACATCATCATCATCATCCTCACCGGCGGAGTAAACGGACTGGAAGAGGTGGCAGGGACCCGGAGGGACCCGAGGGGACGGCAGGGAGGAGAGGAAAAGGTGTACCGTACACAAGGAAAATTTTCGGGCGGAACGGGAGACGATGAGATCTGCCAAGCCAGTGGCCCCCCTCTGTCTCTCTCTCGCTCTCCTTTTCTCTCGCTCTCTTTCGCTCGGGTTTGGGCTCGGGTCATGTTTCGGGACACGGGCGAGGCGCGGCCGCGGAGGATGAAATTGCCATGCGCTGCTCCGCTCCGCTCGGCTCTCGAGGGGCGTCGCCTCGCCAGGTCGCCGACCGGGCCGGCCAGGCCAGCCGAGGGTGTCCGCGATGGTGTGGGGGGCAGGGAGGGAGAGAGGGAGGGGCTGTTCCGAGCTGTTCGATACGGTTCTATAATGAGGTCCGTTGGGGCTCGCGACACAACGCGCGCGCGCACGCACGCACGCACACACACACACACGCACTCACACACGCACACACACACGCACGCACGCACGCACGCACGCACACGGGCAGGCGGGCGGTGGGAAGCCAATCAAGTCCGCGATTGGATGTTGCGGGCCAAAATGATGAGATGATGAGCGGGTCATTGCAAATCCCCCCCCCCTTCTCCCCCTCCGCCACCACTCGACCAGGATGCCCTAGAC